ATACTTCCAAACTACTATGATATTTATTTGTTTTTTTTCTTTTTTTTAATCAATTTATCGGCAACCATTTGGACTTTCTTTATTTGTTTTTTAAATTTTGGCAATAATTTTTAGTTGTAGTGTATAGGGAAAAGAAAACCTGATAAATATGCATTGTATTCTAAAAACAAAAGTTAGTGGAGTGCAATATTATCAAAAGAATAAGAGTATAATAAAAAGGAGAGTAATAGTTTTAATATATTAATAAATATATAAGTGTATAACATTAATTAAAAATAAGTGGAAAACATATGGGACTTACAAAAGTAGAATAAGAATGAGATTTTGAACAATGTGTGGGGAAGTGTAAAAATAGGTTTATGGAGGTTTTGATGCTCTATGTCTTCTACTGTCATCCTAATGATATTACTCTGTGACATTTCTAAAATTATACACTTATATTTAAAAATTATAATTTATAATAATATAATAATAAAAGTATGATATTAAATTATACACTTTATTTAAACATTATAATTTAATAAAAGTATGATATTTCATAATATAAACGTTAGTTTTTTTTAAAAAAAAAAAGTATAATTAATTTTCTGGTTTCAGCTACAAGGTTTATGTACAATTTGCCATTTTCTCATAGCATCTGCATCACTCACCATAACTGGACTTCATTACAAAAGCATCGCCGACTCAAATCATGGGTTGTTCACAACCCGACAAAATACAGACAACTGTTGTTCAAAAATATATTTCTAACCCGTTAAGCACGAATGGTCCCAGCATAAAATTAAAGCCTCGTCACTTTTGCAATGACAGCACCAACTTGTCATTTTTATTTCAAAAAAATGCAAATTATATTCTTTCCTTAATAATTTTGGACTCTAATCATTAAACTAAATTTATTGCTGGAGATGTATTTTAGAACTTTTTATTTTTCTTGGATTGGATGTGTTATCTCGAGGATTCCACTCACACTCGTGACAGATCATCATCAATCATGTGAAGTATATCACTCTGTTATGTGGGCAATTTTTTTCGCTTTGTGACCAACCATATTATTCCTTTCTTTTCCTAGTTTCTGTACTTGCTGTTTTCATTTCACTCACAGAATTCCACCTTTATCAGTAATCACACACAATTCATATCCATGGCTACTGAGACTGTTGCATCTGATCACTCTGCACCTTCTGAGGTAAATTAGTTAAAACCTGCTGCTGTCCTGTTTCTTGATTTCTAGTTCGTAGTTAACTTTTTTAGTTTATGCTTGCCTATTTTCTCTCTTCCGTTTTCTTCTCCCTTTTTTGTGTGTTTGGGTTTCTGAAAATCTGGATTCTTGCCTGTTCTGTGTAGTAAAATACTAAAATCACATCTTTTTGTTTGTAAATTCCGAGACTGTTAAGGAAACCTCTAGGTGATATTTAAAAATTGATATTTAGGGACTTCAGAGATGGGTTTCATTACAGATTCATTTCTTTTGTTTTTATGTTTTAAAAAAGGAATAGAAAAGAAAGAAAGAACAGATAAGCTATATTGAATTTAGTGTTTGATGTGTATTATGCAGAATCAGAAATTTGGTGTCCACCCCTCAAAATTCACCACTGCAAATTCTAAGTATGTTATAATTATAAAAGGCATAGATATTAAAAATCAGCTGCTTAAAATTTGCAACTCTCCCTGGGTTGAGATTTTTATAGGTATACATTGGTCTACTCTATATAGTCTAGGTAGAAAGTTGAGGTATTCCCAAAAGGATGGCATAAGGAGTGACTATCAAAGTTCCAAATTTATTGAAAAACTTAGTATCAATCTACTTTGGCACAGTTATCAATTCCCATTTCCCTGAGTTTGTGTCAATATTATTTGGAACCCACAATGACATTTTATCCAGAAGAAAGATAATTTCACTTAATCTTTTCTAATTTGTCTTTGTTCTCGTCACCGCAGGAAGTCGAAAAACAAGCTCAACCTGAGGACAAGAAAATTGAATCTGAAGATGTGTCCTCATCAAAGGAGAGCCGCGAAAGTGTTGTAGAAGCTAAGACAGATGAAAACAAAATCGAGCCCGAACATGCAAAAGAAGATGATGTGAAAGCTGATGAGAAGCCAAAAGCTGAGGACCCAACTGACTTGGCTGTTCCCTCAGCCGAACCAGTTGAGAAAAAGGCCGAAGAAGATAGCAATAAACCAGCTGTCGACCTGAAGGAAGAGGAAAAGAAAAGAGAGGATGAGCCAATTACTGAGAACAAAGCAGAGGAGAAATCAGAAAGCGGAGAAAAACCTGAGGAATCAGCTAAGGTTGTCGAGGAAAAAGTTCCTACATTTACGGAAACAAATGACAAAGAAGCTCCTGAGGCTGAGCCAGTTGTAAAAGTTGAAAGTTTGGATGAGGTCAAACCAGAAAATCACAAGGCCCAAGTTGAAGAAAAGGATGTGGAGACTGTTGAGGATACTGAAGAGAAAGTTTCCGAATCTGAAGAGAAAGAAGCAAAACCAGAAGAGAAAAAGGCCGTTGTAACTGAGGAATTGGCTAAGTGCGAAACAGAACTGCCCGAGAATGTGAAAAGTTCTGATCCTTCACCAGAGCTTGAAGAGGAAGTTAAAGATACAGTCACCAAACTTGTTGCTGAGAATGCTAAAGCTGAAGATGATGATACTCCTGAGAAAGGTGAGGTGGCGGAAAAAATAATGGAAACTGTACAAGTTGTTGAAGAGAAACTGGAAGAAGAGAAAAGAGCAGTGGATGAGAAAATAGAGGAAACTGCGGAAACCGTCGAAGCCAAGTTAGAGGAGAAGAAGGAAGACGTGAAAAAGTCGCAAGATGTCCCTGCGAAAACTCAAAAGCAATCACTAGTTAAGATTGTGAAGCAATCCCTAGTGAAGGCTAAAAAAGCCATTACTGGAAAATCTCAGAATTCGAAAACGCCGGCTGTGGAGCCAAAGGATGATGGTAAAAAATAGCCGTAAAACGACTTTGTTTATGAAATTTGGTGATATGATTTGTTTCATTTGTGTGATGATATTGTTTTCTCTTTTGTTGATGATTTGTTTGTGCCTGGTTGATTTTGTGCATCAAAGTATTTATCTGTTAGGTATACGAGTTGCTTTTGAATATTCTGAAAACAAGGAGGAAGTTCCTTCCTTCTTTAGTCCCTGCTCTCTTAGTTCTGTTGTATTCATTTCTTGGTTTGTGTATTTATTTTAATGTAAGAATGATATTCGATTTGTTAATTGATTCGTGTCGCAGATGTAAATAATACTGCTGTTTGTCCAAGAATCTCTACTTAGTATTGCAACGCATATAAATGTTTGATCGGTTATTACGCGTCTTGAGTTTGCGACCTTATTTCTGTGTGTACTTATCTGATTCACATCTTAGTTATGTTACTCTGGTGTTTAGTTAATTATTATGAAATCCATCAGAGTTGGTTATGTTATATTAGATGTTGTCAAATGCTTTGAGAAGGTGATTTAATAAGATAACTTGGCAAGATTCTTGTGAGATAGAGAAGTGACCACGCAGCCTTGTCCCTAAAAGGGACTTGCAGCACATGTCTGAACAGTTGAGTGAAAATGTACCATAATAAATGTACCAACTTCTAATGAATTAATGTATCTTAAATATAGGTTTATGAATATGATGAAACTTGCTTCATTCAGGGGTTTCTGGAGACTGATTTGCATCTGAATACGGGATAACTTTTCTGACTTTATTTATTTATTTATTTATTTTCTCACTGAAAGATATATGACAGCATAGTTTGATGCTAAAACCTAAACTACAAAGGCAAGTTTGACTTGTGTAATAATACAAATAAATTAATCTCGCATGAAAGCACAAGTTTAGGCAATTAAAACATAATTTGAAACACAACCCCAATCAGCGAGTTAGTTAGCTCTTGAAGTAAGGTCTACTAGTTTAGTAAATAGTTAGCAGGGTACCAGGTGTCCATGATTCCAAAAGCAGGTTAATGGAATAGATTATTGATATTGGCCCCGTTTGGTAGATAGCAGATTGCACTTAATTGAGAGGTTTGACCCGTCAAATCCGCTATTGAGCTTGTTTGGTAAATAGCTTATTTGATAAGCTTTTTGGGCCCAAAACTCTAATTTAGAAAAAGCTCATTAGAGCAGCTTTTTGGGATAGAGGATTCACAATTTAAAGGTTTTATTAGATTTTTTAATTTGTCTTATTTATTTTACAATCTACATTAGTTTATAAAGCTAATAAATAATAATATGTCATCCATATGATTAATTTATCTAGAAAAATGTAAAATTCAAAACTTCTTCATCAAGTGTTAATAAATTTTAAAAAAATATATATATTTATAAATTATCAACTAAAGAATATTAAATGTTTTAATATATATTATTATTAAAAGAATACACCCTAAATAATAAAATATCCTTATTGGTCATTTTGCAATGTCAAACAGCTATAAGTTTTCAGTTATTTACCAAACACTTATTTAAAAACCGCTAATGCAATCCGCTGGTCAAATCAGCTAATATAATTCGCTATTCGCTATCCGCTGATATAATCCGTTATCCGCTATCTGCTATCCGCTGATCGCCAAACAAGGCCAATTTGTTCGACTATTAATATCATGACTCCTACGTTGTTAGCAGAAATATAAATTATTTTTGATATTTCAAATGTAGTAATTGTGGAGAACTTTAGCGGGAAAATGAGATACGATGACTATTAATATAATACAGAGACTTGTGTCCTTAAAACAAATTCACCCTGTATGAGCGTTTGTTTCCCAGGATTCAACGGCAAAACCGAATAAAATCCGGCGAACTGAAATTATGCCTGGGCCAAAATACTGTGGAATTGAAGGGTCAAAATACTTAGATGCACTACTTTTTATTGTTAATTTTTTACCTCTTTTTGAAACCATACCAAGCCACCTATTTATACATGTACCACAAAGAGAGAATAAATAACATACATATGTCAAGGTGAGAGACAGGACATGGAAACTCAAGATCATGGGGAAAGTTAAACACTTTATATGGAAGTGTTGTAATGGTTCCTCGCCAGTCAGTCTAAATCTGAGAGCTAGAGGGATAGGGGTGGATCAGGTTTGCAAACTGTGTGAAGAGGACAGTGAGTCTGTTGAATATCTTTTTTTCAATTGTAGGTATGCAGCAACAGTGTGGAAATTGGCTCCACTTAATTGGGTTGGACCTCAAGGTAAGGATTCCTTTAAATCATGGTGGTGGCAAATCTGTCAACTTGATAAGACCGAGATATCCGAAGCACATATTCAACTTTCCACGTATATTCTGTGGTGGCTTTGGAAGTCTCAGAATCTTTAGGTATTTGAAGAAGTTCGTAGACCAAAATATGTCATTGTTCAAGGAGCAATCAAGGATTGGGAGGATTTTCTTAAGGTCAATTTGAGATAGTTGAGGTTGCTTTGGTTGTTTTTTTTATGGTGTTACTATTTACCGCCCCCCATTTTACTAGTCACCGCCCCCCTTGGACAATTTTGCCCTTCTCATTTTTTCTAAACATCTCAGAGGAAAGTGTACGGTGAAATGTCGTCAAATTCGGAGGTACGAAAAATTTGGTGTTCGGTCGCCGGAACCGGACGGCTTTTAGCCCGTCCGGCAGTCGGAACCGGACGGTTTTGAAGCTGACCGGCCATGTCCGAACTGGCCGGCCGGACGGCTGAAAAGCCATCCGAAAACGACGGCCGGTCGGAACCGGTCCGTCCGGTTCGGCAGGCCGTACGTAATTTTTTTTTTAAAAAAAAATTATTATGTTATTATGTTATAAATTATTATGTTACATTTTAGACTTGATTATGCAATAAATTAGACGTTTATCGTGTTAGGAGTTACAAATTATTATGTTAAATGTTGATTATAATATAAATTGGACGTTAAATATTATCGTGTTACGAGTTAGAAATTATTATATTACATGTTAGTCTTGGTTATGTTGTAAATTGACGTTACATAGTATCGTGTTAGGAGTTACAAATTATTATTTTACATGCTAGAATTAATTATCTTAACTTAACATGTTCTAAAAATATAAATATTGTACTATATAGCAGGAGTCATGGGAAGATTTTGGAGGAGATGGTGTTGATTACAGTCTGCGTTTCGATACCTGTACATTATATAATAGTGCTCAGGAGGCTATTGAAGCTGCAAAACACCAGGCAATGTTGAATGGTTTTCTATTAATAATTTCGAGCCACAAAAAGAAAACGGTCAGAGTTTTGAAGTGCCATAGAGGCGAACGGCACAGAGGCACAGGCGGAAATTCTAGAAAGACAAAAACAAATAAGTGCGGCTGCAATTTTGAGATCAAAGTAAAAAAGGTGTCTGGCGCTGCATACTGGAAGATCTGTAGATGTACCAATGAAGAGAAAGGTTACCATAACCATGCATTTGCTGTGTATCCTGAGGGTCATCGCTAGTTGAGCGGCCTCAGCGCTACATCTAAGAAAATTGTTCGTGACATGACGGACACTCAGGTGGCCCCGAAAAAAATTATGGCCGCGCTGAAGGAAAAGAATCTGGGAGACAGCGTTCATGTGCGGCAAGTATATATATATTTATATTTTCTAATATATGTTTTAATTAACTTTTTTAAATTAATTATGATAATTAGTAATTTTTTATATGTAAAAATTATTGTAATAATTAATAAATTTTATTGTATTTATTAATGTATTATTATTGTGATAGTTAATATTTTTTTATCAAATTAATCGCATTAATATACTTTTTTATTTATTAATATAATAAATTTTTTGTTTTAAATTATAATAATCATTATAATTAACGCTAATCGGTGACAGGTATATAACTTTAGAGATAAGCTGCGGAGAGACGATTCCGACGGTAGAGACGTTCCTTCCCAGCTTATGCATTTGGCCGTGAGCAGCAAGTATACAGTTTATGCAGATTCCGATCCGAACACGAAAGCGTTGACGCATATATTCATGGCCCATCCAGCGTCGATCAATCTATTCTGGACATATCACTGGTATGTCGGCATAGATTTCACGTATAAAACCAACAGGTATGTTACTTTATAAATACTTTATTAGTATGAATCTTAAATAGTGTGTTTGATTAAGTTAAGTTTTATGTGCTTATATTTTTTGTCTTCTTGCTCACATTTGCACAGGTACAAGATGCCGTTGGTCGAGATGATTGGGATGACGTCGTGCAACCAGAACTTCCTAATTGCGTATGCGCTCATCAGGGACGAGAAAGAGGTCAGTTACGACTGGGTTCTAGAGAAGTTGAGACTACTGATAGGCCAAAGCGTATATCCTTGTGTTGTTGTCAGTGACAGAGAGTTGGGTTTACTCACTCCTATTCAGAGGCATTTTCCTGAATCAGCCCACTTACTCTGCACGTGGCACATCAACAAGGATGTGGAAGCCAGAGCCTACAAACTATTTGGGAAGAATAAAAAATTCTCGGAGATTTTCACGCACAGTACGTGGAAGGCGATTGCAGAGGCCAGTACGTTCGATGCCTACACCGATGCCGTTGTCGAGCTGCGCGTAAAATATTAGAACTCTGCAGAGGTGATACGGTATGTGGAGGGCACATGGTTAGTGCACCGCGAGAAGTTTGTGAAGGCTTGGACCAACCGAGTGACACATTTTGGAAACACAACTTCCTGTAGGGTGGAGAGTACCCACTCTGCGTTGAAGGAGTGGCTTCAGACGTCCACCGGCACGCTCGATACGGTTTGGCAGAAGATTAATAAGCACATCGATAATCAAGTGACTGAAATCAAGTACGTACTGCAATTTTTAAATGCGTTATTATATTACTACATTAATTAATTATAATCTAACGTTATGTAACGTATTATCAGGACGGCGCTTGAGGCCTCGAGATCTAAGAAGAATACACGGTACAAGGGAATCCGTTTCGCGAGCGTGATACTGAGGGTCTCGCATTACTGTCTGAGTTTATTGGACGCTGAGCTTACGAGGATGCACAAGTTGGGCACCGATGTTTACACTAGCTGCGGCTATGTATTGCAGCTCACTCATGGACTTCCTTGTGCCTGTCTCCTCCATAACGCAGAAGATCTCGACGTTCCGATTGATCTCGGAATGATTCACCAGTTCTGGAGAACGCTCGAGATATTAAAGCCAGGTAATTTAAGATTAATGTTTTATTTATAATTTTCTATTAAAATACATTATTTGGTTTAATTCATTGACTTTTTTATCGTATACTTGTAGGGACTGGTCATCCGAGCCAGGCGAGCCACGCTGCATGGTCAGATGCGGCGTTCTTTCAGACGCTTGTGAGTGAGGTTGAAACCCACGATTGGTAGACGCCCCCGGGGTCGGAAATCGGGGAAATACTCATATATCCAAGACAGCAGAAGAGTCAAGCAGCTCGACATCTGGGCAGAGTCCCCTCGGCTGGCAATACCTAGCTGTCTGTACATGTATGTCAGCGTAGCCGATCCCCATGAGTAACCCCAAATCAAATCCAAGTCGTCGAGCACCTCTTGCAGAAGCTTGGGGGTCACTCTACTACCACTCTTGTCGACGAACAATGTGGTAGCCAGCATCACCCACATCCAGACACCCGCCTCATCCCTAGCCGGCCGGGCTTTCCCCCTGAATGCCCCCGAAATGGCGGCTTCGGACACCGAACCACGCTACCAGAACGAACTCATGAGTTCGCCCTTGGTGACCGAAAGTATCGACATGCAGAGCCCATGGCAAGCGTCCGAATCCGGGTCCTCAGCGACCACGACTCCCTCCACTGGAATGCTTAAAATGGCCCGGACATCGTGCAGCATGATGCTCATTTCACCAAAAGGCAGGTGAAACGAGTTAGTATCCGGCTGCCATCGCTCCACAAAAGCAGAAAGTAGTGGGGTGTCCAAGTGGGCGTGCATGGAGTCGACCAAATGTGACAGCCCGATCTGGTCGAGAAGAGCTCCCGCATTGGAAGACATCTCTTCACGCCAAGCCTTCAGATTCTCGATCGCTCGCAGTCTGTTGTGGCATTTCAGCGGCCCCCGAGCAGGCCCACTCCACATGCGGGAGGCGACGTGCCCAAGAAAGCTAGGGATGACACTCCCATCAATGGGCCCACCGGGCACTGGGCCTTTAACGATCCAGGGTACACCATCATCGGCCCTAGCTCGTTTGCTAGTACCTGCATTAAAATACAACATATCTGTATATATTGACTTGCTGGCAGATGCATTAAATAAAATATATTTAATAAAACATATTTCATTACTTACATTACATTTTACACTTTACATTATTATTATAAGCATATATAATTTATAATTATTAATATTATTTTTTGAATTTATAATTAATTACAATTTATTCAACTTACCCTAAATTACAAAATAATTATACCGTAGTTGAGGAGCAGGCCGATAATACTTTTCTAACAGTACCGATAATTTGTTATGATTAAGTGAAAATAATTTATGTTAAACAACACAATAGGTAAATTATTTACCTGATGAGGATGCAGATGGGCCAAAACGCCCCCCAGCCTGTCGTTGAGGAGCAGGCTGTGTAGGACGAACAGCATGTACCGGACAAACATGCTGTAGAACCGGCTGTACAGGAGGACGAACTGGTTGTACAGGAGGACGAGGGTGGTTAGGACCCGTAGGCTGTGCGTGGTCCTGATCATCTGAAGAGTCGTCCGACTCATAGTCCTCTGGACCCGGCTCCCTCTCGCCGTACGACTCATCATCAGCATACCCCTGCTGACCATAAGGTAATGGTACGCGTGCGCGGGGGGGTATCGACTTCCCTGCGTAGCGGGGAAAAGCACATCTCGGCTGATCGTACAGTCCTGGTGCCGGGAGCATCGTCCTGCCCGCCTGGCCAGGATAATAAAATCCATGTTCGCCGTACGGGAGGACTCCGTGGGGTCGCGAACTATCTGGCTGGCCCTCAAAATGATATGGACCAGTGGGCACTGGTGCGGGGGGGCGGGAACTCTGGCTATCCTGACGAAGCTGTACCCTACGAGCCTCATCGATCAACGCCTGCCTTTCCGTGTCCTTCTCCCGACGAACGGACGCATTGACACCTCGACTTCTAGTGTATCGGGTGCCAGAACCATCATAATAGTCATCGTACGCCTCGTCGTCGTCCCTGACATTAGATTGTCCAGGTCTGCCAACACCCTGAATCAGAAATATAAAGATTGGTAAAATATATTTTTTTTATTTGTATAGTTTATACAAAAATAAATTTATATTATTTAATAAAAAATTAAGAAGAATATTATTATGAGAAATAAATAGTAGAAGATCATAAAAAAGAAAATAATAAACAAATATATGGAAAGAGAGAGAAACAAATAATAAATAATTAAGAAAGATTGTAGGATGGAGAGAGAAATAATAAAATAATATGTAAAATTAGTTTGATAGTGGGGTGATGTCATAACTTAATTTATTTTTGATTAATTTTAACACTAGGGAGTTAAGTGGAAGAAATATATGAGGGTGGAGAGTGCAGAGTCAAAAAACAAAGTGGGGACTGATCTGGAAAACGAAAAGTGCTGTAGGGAGTTTTAAAGAACTTGCCCTTGAATTTTTATATAATCTAACGATATTTATAAGGATACTCGTTGTCATATATGTATAAACTAGTACGTAGCCCGTGCGATGCACGACATAAATATTAAATGAGTCATTTCCAAAGCTCTGTTAAGTAACTCGTGTGATTCACGGGAGATATTAAATGAGTGGACAATAGGGCTTGTCAGTTAAGGCCTAAAAAAATAATAGAGTTTGATCATCTATTTTTTTTACCTCTTTCATCAACGTCATCTTTTTTGTCGAGACATTAAACCTGAGCCTGGTAGTGGTAGCGCTAGACCGTAAATTAATTAATATATTATATCGCTCACATGTTTATAATAATTTTAAAAAAGTTACCAATTTTAGTAAAATGTACGTGACAATATATTATAAATATACATGACGTCAGTAATGTTATGAATCTTTAAGTTCCTAAAATATATATTGTTTAGATATGAAACTAATTAACTTATATGTTAAGATAATATATATAAATATATGTATTGCGCGAAATATACACGTGATAAGTTATCATATTTGTTTATATATTGTTTGTATATTTGTTTGTATTGTTTATTATATTTGTTTATTATATTTTTATATGAATATATTGTTTATATATTTGTCTGTATTGTACGATAAATTATTATATTTCTTTATATATTGTTTGAATATATATTGTTTAGATATGAAACTAATTAACCTATATGTTAAGATAATATACATAAATATATGTATTGTATGAAATCTTTAACGTGTTTGTTAAATTTTTCCACTAAAAAATTTAAAATACATTTAGGCATGTTTTGTTTGAAGTTTGAAATTCAAATATGCATCTATATAACAAATCCCATGATTTGTGCTAACATTAAATGCTACTTGATTTTTTATTAAAAAAAACTAAAAAAACATACCAAAAATGGAATGCAATTAATATTCCCTATTTTTTTACTTACTAGTTTTGAAAAATGTTAATTCTTATTATATATATATATATATATATATATATATGGTACCTAAATGTAGAAGGATCCAAATATGTATATCTTTGTAAGAGTATATTTGTCTAACCATTAAACAGACTAACAAAAGATCTATCAAAATATGAATCTATGGAATCTGTAATATTTGTTGCAAAATATAAATCTTTTTCTTGTGAAATGATTCGAAATTAGTTCATGTGGTGCAAAATATTTCAACAATAATTCATTCAAAATAATATTCCACCATATGGACAAGTTTACATAAAAACTATATAAATATAACTTCATGATTTAAGCAATGTTTAATTACTATTCAATCACATAAGTATTTTGATCCAACAATATTTCATTTCGTATCTAACAAAATTAACTAATTTGATACTAATAAATAACACGAGAAAATATTTTGCAAAAACAATTTAAATTGTGACGAGATGCATTAAGTTATGCGTGCCAATGATAGTTAAAACTTAAAAATAGATGATAGAGTTTACCAAATAACTCGGCTAAAGTGCACTGGTTCTCCTTAGATCTGCGAATCTTGCATGACCTTCTAGTCCAGGTACTTAAAAAAGCGTCTTGAGGACTCCCGACGTAGAGCCTCCGATGATCAAGTTAGTCACTCTAATGTATAATAATAGGTATGATAATGCATAAGCGATAACCCCTTAATGATGATCATACTTTTGCGTTTATATGCAATGGTTACCTTATCCCTCAAGAATTATATTCTTCTAAGGAAACCATATATACACATACCTTCTTAAAGGCTAAATATCCTTCCATATTCTCATGTCATTAGGATCCTAACATTCATACATACATTAGATGTCACGGTTAACACCTCTATCAGTTTGCTAGATTGCCCCTACGTACGAAAGTTCACCCTCTGGAGCCAGATATGCTCATCTTGTACCAGCTCACTAATCGGGAACTCAGGTTGCCTAGGTCTTCGGTCGATAACTCAACTTACACCCCTTCGGGAGCTACCTCGACCTACCCGTCCAGGACCTAATGCCTCTAAGTCTAGCTAAGAGAACTCCGGTCTAGAACCAAGCTATATAAGAGCTCTGCACAGGATCGAGTTTTCTATGCTATATCAACTACTCCCCTCAGTTCGGCCACACGAGCTTTGAAACGTATGGACAAAAGTACGTAAAGAATCCTGAAATCCATTAATTAGGTGCGCATCTGAAACGCCTGTTAATCACACCCATCGTTTTAAAAAGAAGCACTTGAGTACCAGTCTTAATAAATATCGAGGGTCGTACCATCCACCCTCGAATTTGAAATAAAGGTGATAGATCGAACGATTCTCAATCATCTGGATTTTGACCTACTCAGTGTTGGTCTATACAATCCCTTCTTCGCCATTGTAGAACGTTGTCCACCTTCTGCAAATTAACTCTGCTTACATAAAGCTTTCTGGCGCACTTCTCCCTCTACCCATTCAAAGGACCTCATTTATACTACCGTTCGAGGATTCATAGGTATGTCCTCCTAGGTCCCTTCTCTATCCTCTATTCTTTTGTTTGTTCCCTTCTCTATCCTCTATTCTTTTGTTTATTGAACTTCTTTGAGCTTCTTCTCGTTTATTCTCTTCTCACTCTACTCAGATCCCTATTCTCAACAACCATGTCTCAGGCCTGAGCACCGACAGTAATATAAACCAAAACGACCTTTGTTCTGACACCTCGTCCTCATCCCAAACCATCATTCTCGGGTCCCCAAAAAATCCTACCATAGGACGTTCTCTCGATCTTAATTATAAGCCCTACAGTTAAGTAAGCTAGGTCGAGCTAGAAGCACTTGTAGAAAACCACTCGTCCCTTTCTTCTTCTCCATTGTCTACCCTTCCTCTAGCCCAAACATTATCTCCTCTACACCTAACCATCGAGGGTCAACCCACCTTGGACGAGCTGTTCGAGATGGATGACTCGGAAAAACTCAACTCCTTCGCCTAAGCGACGTCCGAGAAAATCGACACCTTTAAGACCTTCTGTGATCTTCCCCATTCTTAGAAGCTCGTTCTTCCGAAATCCACGGACTTATTCGACTTGCCCTCAAAGAATTGCACGTTGTTTAGGTACCAAATCCATAGTAGTCTCTGTTTTTCTATTCAAGACGACCTTAGTCGTCTCGGCGACCTATATTACCTCCCCATTAATCATTTCTCACCGAACTTCATCTACCTCATGGTCACGCTCATCATACTCAGTCGTTGTCGCCTCGGAGACCAAGACCTCGACTTCTTCTTCTACTGCTACGACATAAAGATGCAAAAGGGGTCTCACTACCTCACAGCTCGCAATTGAGTTGCCTTCTCGAAAGACTTGCCTTCCAATATTTTCTCGTGGAAAACCAGTTTTTTATGTTTAGTCTCCCCCCAACAAGCTACCGTTCTCCTCAGAGTGGCTCCATGAGATCCCCGGCCAAATGAAGAAGCCGTGTCCAATAACTACTCGGACAAGCTCGTTGTCGAGTGGAACCAAGTTACATTCAGTGCTTTCTACAGACGCGAGCATTCATTCACATATGGGGCTCACCTACTGCTTTACCCGCCTAAATGACGATCTAGGTACGAACACTGAGAGGTAAGTTGTCAATAATAGGTCAATTTCCGTATGTAATTTATCAATAATAAGTAAATTCTAATAAAAGCATTGTGCATAATATGAAAATATTTATTAGATTTTTTGGAAGTTGCATTTTTTCGTAAAATATGAATTTTAACTTTTTTTTTAAAAAAAATAAGTCACTGAAATATTTTTATAGGATTTATCCTAATTGATTTTCACAACAAATAAAGATACAAAAATAAAAAGACTGCCAAATAAATAATTTAACCTTCTAAAAATATATAATATTTTAGACATATTTTTTTAAAAATTTGGACTACACCATAAATCTCATATTCTTATAATCTTATTTGATATTTTCCTCCAACCATTGACTAACACGATTATACCGTGTATGGTGTGATACTGTGATAGAAGTTACCATCTGAGTACCTGCCCCACCTAACACATTCGTTACGCGTAATATGATTTGTTTGAGTGGGACGCGTGGCACGTACTCACCCAATTCGTGCCGTCAGCAACACGTTGTATCCAATGAACACTCACCACGTAAGTCGGTCACTCATTCCTATTTTACTTCGTCACCTCCGACTACTCTACCAGCAGTTTCAGAAGGAGAAGTCGAGTAATTGGGAAAAAAGAAGTAAAAAATAAGATTTTAGTCCATCGAAGAAAAGGGTGATTTCATTAATGGCGGACGGGACAGCAAATTGTATTGATATCATCGTGGCAATTCTTTTGCCACCCCTCGGTGTTTTCCTCAAGTTTGGCTGCAAGGTACTGTTTTCTTTCAACCCCAAATCGCATTAATTTTTTCTAATAATCATATCTACCATCGCTTTTGGAGTTGATTAAGCGATTTTTATATACTTTTTAATCCAATCATTAATTAGTGAAAATTCCAATTTAAGTTCCATTCTGGTTTGCTTATCTATTTTTTATACTTTTTTTGCTGGGGCCAAATTGTAAAAAAGGTAAATCGGAAATGAGTAAGTACTGTATGAGTAGACTCCCAGTGCAAAACTACTGTCCAAAATCACTAGAATTTTGATGATTGTTTTTGTTCTGCATAGTTTCTGAAAGGAAAAAGAAACTTCAAAACCGAGTGTTTTGTGCAGGTTGAGTTCTGGCTTTGTTTACTGCTAACGCTCTTCGGTTATATTCCTGGTATTATTTATGCTATCTATGCCATCACCAAGGACTGATCTTTTCCCCAAGGTAAGATAATTTATTCAATATTTTCTGCTTGAATGTTAGTAAATTGAATTCATATTTTACAATTATAAAATAATATTTTTTCATGAGTTGGGACTTGCAAATTTTAATATTATTTGCCAGTTTCATGGATGCAATACCAATTATGTACACATAATTTTACTGAATATCTGTGATGCAAATGTTTAATTTGCATGCAATAACAATTATATAGACATAATTTACTGAATATCTGTGATGCAAATGTTTAATTAGCCGTGTTGTCCTGAAAACTTTGTGTTAAAATGATTTAATATCTTGTGATTATTTGCCAGAGTGTTGGCACTTGGCTTAAACTCTGTGGTCTAAAATTTCAATGGAGGAGGATAAGAACAAACTCTTTATTTGCCACGTAACCTTAATTAATGGAAGGTTCATGAACAAATTTTAAATAGTAATATTCTTCTGTATAAAGGTTTAGCACTAATCCTAATATGTGATTTTTGGCAGGTATAGATGCAAAGGAGCCATAAAGTTTTAATCTTTGCGATGGACATTGGTGTTTGATTCGTTGTTTTTATGGCTGTTTATGTTTATTTATATTTCTCTATTTTTGTTTGTCCAATTTGTGTAAACTTCATTTATTTGTAACGGAATGTTATCATGTTGTTTATGGCGTGTTTTGGTTTGAGACATTGTGTTTACCAACGAGCCTTAGACTAACGAGCTCAAGCTTGAGTTCAGCTGTTTTATCAAACAAGTTGAACTTACGAGTGGCTTGTTTCGTTTAGCAGCTCTAATTTCAACCCAAATTAATATTTCATTTTCAACTTCCATATCTCCAAATATAATATGTCAACAAATCACATTGCTTATAATTATCCTTGAATAAAAACATCATACGAACACTTCACCAATAGATTGAACCTCACACATGATTACCAAACACAATAACAAAAGAACAGAATGACTGACATTCAAATTTCAAGTCGTAAAAAGGTAGTCGTTCGGATTACCTTCTAGAAAATTGGCGGGCAAATATTGATGAAAAAAAAAAGAAAAACAGAAAGTGTTTTTAGCCTTTGAACTGCCACTCCCTACGGCACATGGGACAGTGTGCTTGAGGAGTCTGTGAATTCACCCACTTCAAGATGCAGTGAAGATGGAATGCGTGGTTGCAAGCTCCCCAGACTGAAATACCGAAATAATCAATCGAGCACTTAAGAAATAAATAAATTAAACAAACTACTTCTCATGATGGCACTGAGTGATGGGAAAGAAATGCATGACTTTCACTGTTAAGATGCAAATCTCCTAAAACCTAAACCCTAAAGGCTAAACAACCAATGATCAGATTCTTCAGAGCATGTTTGTTTACAAAATATTTTAAATATTATTTTAATATAAAATCAAAATCCCACTAACAACTAACCATCCAAATTTTTTAACTTTTTTTTTTCAAAATTAACCCTGGTTAATCGAAAAAACTCATTTTGAGTGAATTTACTTGTAAACAAGCACGCCCTCAGTGGAGATCTCACAAATTTTTAGAGTTACTAAAGCTTTTATCACATACGAACGAATACTTGACGAAGCCTTTGGGCAATTCCCAATGGTTTACTTCCTCAACAATTTGTTGCAAGTGCAACATCCTACAGATCATGTCAATTCCACAGTCCCACAAACTTGCTGGTGTACACATTAAATATAACTCACTGAGCATGCAACATTTTCATACATGGACTAGTAAATTTATCTACGTTTATCTTGGGGATTTGTAATATATTAGTGGTTAGAACTGAAATTGGCAACGTGTATCACCCAGGAACTCAGCTTGCCATAAATTTCCATCGTAAAAATTATTACGGAAAAGGAGTTAACAATGCCACAGGAATCCCCACTCAGATATAGCACCAGATTGAAAATTTAAAAATAACAAAGTACATTATAAAACTAGAAGACAAAAGGCACGTCATATTCTTACTTAGGGGACAATCATCTCCTGGGAGTTTACAGTCAGGACAACAACCATCAAAAGCCATCCGACAAATTCCACATGTCTCATCGTGAGCATCCCATGTCCACGAAGAGACAGCGTGCCACATGGAATCACAAAAGAAAATTATTAGTCACTTAAAGAAAAAAGTAATGATAATATAATCAAGAATTAGCAATAATAGAGGGATATAAGAGCATACTCTGTTCATCAGGTCCAGTCGAGTTAAGCAAACAATTTTGGTCAAGGAAAATCTGTTTTGCAAGAGATTCATAATAATACGACTGCTACAGTAATATATTGTTCGCTTTGACCAGATAGGCAAAAAAATAATCTTAGATGCTGCTATATATATTGATGTTTAAAAAATCAGTAGCCTGATTCAGTACAATATGAGAAGATATTCACAAAATCTCCAATTTTAATTGCCTCAATATATCTGGTAAAACATGGAACTTTTAGAACACTTTTATTTTTTTCTTTTCTGAAGACACCAACTTAGATAAGTCACAAATATCAGTAACGGGAAAATAAAAATATGAATGAATTTATTTGAGTGACGGAGATATTTGAAGTTAACTTAAACAAAATCTATTAAACTAAAATGTATAGGTGAGAAAAACAAAATGTAATGCCGTAGCACTAACTAAATCAACTGAACAACCAGATCAATTCACTGATGAATAATAAAAGCATCTACACAATGCTGGATAACTGGAAGAAAGATAACTTAAAATTTCGGTCACTTAGACATCAAACTTGCAGTATATGAATGCAAGTGCAACTACATCTATAAACTTACGAACGAAGGATACGTAAAATCTTGACTTTCATTTTCTTGTGTCCTGCACATTTACGGACTCCCATCAGATCAGAGCCACATGTATAGGCATAATGAGTCAATGAGCAGTAAACCCAACTGAGCATCTCTATCTAACTATAAAAACGCTTAGAAATCCCCACCTTTCAACACCAATTTGTTTGCTTAAACAACTACTAAAGCTAAGTATTCTGAGACAGAAAAAGTATCAAGTCATAATAGAACTGCCGTGAGCCATCTCGGGTTTCATACTTAGGTTATCAAGAATGGGTCGGATTTTAGGGGACAAAGGTAACACTCTTAAAACAATAACATTTCGGGTTATCCCCAGTTTATTTCAATGCATCAACTTTTACATTCCTAAGTTCATAAAGTAATGAACTTTAGTCCCAGACTCCCCTATACAGATTTTACTTTATGAGTCAAATAAGTGAGTTAAGTAAACAAAAAAGCATTCTTGATAGTATGGGAGCGCTGCACTCATACAGTGGTATTGAACGTTGCCATCCTACATCAATCGAGGCAAATTAACAACAACAAAGTGTAGGATAAAAAAAAACCTAAAAATGAATGGAGGGACTATCAACCGAATTCTCCAGGAAACAGCGAAAGATCACAATTTTAACAACCGATTTTCTGAGTGACATTTCATCAAACACCTGCGACTGAATCTCTAATCAGTACCCAACCGCTGAAATTCTTAAAAACCACTAAAATGTTCGTGGTTTGAACCATATGTTAACCTTCACTATATATCTTCAAGATTAGCCCGGTAACTAATAAACTTTGGGCAAGTAACAGAGGCAGAGTTATACCTGAAGCAGTAGTGTTGGTAAGCCTGCAGAGATTCGCTGAGCCGTCCGTCATTCAGGTGTCAACCTTTTGTTTTCGGTAGACGAGCCTTTGGCCCTTTACAATGATTTGTATTCCCTCCATTTTGAAATACTAGTAAAGTGGTATCGAATGATTTTCGCTGAGTAAATCTATATATATATATAATAAGAATTAACATTTATCATAAATAGTAGTAAGAAAAAGTCAACCCACATTTATTATATACTATTTTTAGCAATTTTTTTTATTTTACATTTTAATTTTAATTCATTATCAAAAAATTGGATGGTTCCTAAATTAATGGGTTTTAGATGACGTATCCTGTTTCAAAAATTATAAACATTTAAAATCGGATGGTTCCTAAATTAATGGTTACAAACTTTTCAAAGTTGTAATCTTTATGGCATTTTTTTTTTTGACTTTTAATAATAAAATCATTTTAAATATATATATTAATCCAGAAATTCAATCATACTATGTTTAAAATAAAATCATTTTAAATATATATATATATATATATATATACCCAATCAATTAATCTTGATTTTTTTTAAATTACTATGTTTATTTTTTATTAATATGCATAAAATAAAAATAAATAATTCATCTTTATATATATAATTTATAATCTTAATATACTATCATTTGGTGTAGACATATGAATCATAAATTTTTTTTATTTCATAAAATTAAATATTATATTTAAAGAAAATAATGAAATTACTTTGGATCAATCGGGTGATTGAATTATGGTACTGCCCACGTTGTGAATTACTTTTAGGTGATATTTAAAATAGTCAAAAAACTTGACATAACTTGGTTGGTCCCAGGTAACTAAGTTATGTATCAGTTTGATCAGACCAAATCGATTATTGAACCTAAATATAAATTTTAATATTGAAAAAACTTTATTATGTAGTCCAAACTTCAAATAATCATATTAACAACTTTTACGACAACATGATTAATGATTTATGAATATTTATATATCATTTTATTATTATTCATGTGAACAAAATAATTATTTTATTATCATTTTTATTAATGTACGGTAAATATAAGGTTTTCAGAACCAGAACGTCATCGAAACGATCAAGTTATTTTATTAAATCGTTTGTGGTTGTTCAGATTTTAATACATAATACTTTAATATATATATATATATATAATACTTTTTGTAATAAATTTAAATAAAAAGTGTTACTTAAATATCTAAACAATTTATAAATTCAAATTTTTAAACTAATTGATAAACAATTTATAAATCTCTATTTTATTTAAATATGTAATTTTATTTAAAATAATTTTTAATGTAACAAAATTTGTTTAGAAAATCGTATCGATCCTATCAGTCCAACATACTGATGTTGACGAATTCGATAGCAAATATTTTATTCAAGCGCAATAGACTGGTTATAAAGCGGTTCTCGGTCCATCCGGTCGGACTGTGTCCAACCCGGTTTAATTTAAAAATAATGGGTAAATCATGATTAATGTTATTTATTTATTTAATTTATAATACAATCAAAATATTGTTTTTCCGTGCATCGCACGGGCCACGCACTAGTTTATAAAATAAATTAATTTATTTATTAAACATATCATTGCAGGAATGAAATAAAATATAGAACAAATGAATTCATATTTGATTTTTTTTTTATTTAGAATTATCGTAATGATGTCCTAATATAAAAAGAATGAAATAACGTTTTACAACCCCCAACCAAAATATATAAAAAATAAATCCTTAATACAAAAAACACTAAGATTTTCTTTCATTTCTCATAAGAAACATTCATACTCGTTGGAGTCCAATACATCAATACTATTGCAAAATTTCTCTTAATTCATTTGGCAAAACGCTAATTTTATTCAAACACTTAAGAAACATTTTGACCCAACATATAGTCAAACTTCATGATCGAATAATCTTTATAATGAGGTACTTCTACTAACAATGCATAAATACCTCTATGAAATAACTAACCGTGTCATTAAAATTGCTGGTATTTTTTATCATTGTATAAACTACTACATTCCTCTGTCTCTAGACATATTGGTGCCTACGCCATTGATGCATCGCCCCACGAGGTGGGAATGAATTTTATCTCCAAATAAAAGTTGACTTTCTAAAATTTTGATACATGTACTTCTCCCGAGGTGCTAAATTATTTTTTGAAATCATCATACATTACCTGAAAGTACCTCTAGAGTAATTGTACATACGTTCGAGTACAATACACCAATGAGATTATAAATATTTTTATAAAAAGTAACAACTTCATTCGAACATTCAAAACTGTTTTGCTACTCCGACATTGTTATTTATTTGGAATATAGACGAACATTATAATCTATTATTTGAAAATTATTGATCATCTTGATTGTTGCAATGATTTTAGAATTGTTTATCATAATATCTTTCACATTCGTTTGAATGTGCAATAGTTGTATGCCTAATAACTTCTTTAATGCTTTTATTGTCCAACATTATTCATCATACAAAATGATTATAACATTCAAGATAAAGATCATTTCTTTATTCTCCAACAATGACAAAACAAAACAATCAAAACAATGAGAAAATATTGAGAAACATATCATTTGTTAAAATATTTGATAAAAAAGGAATTAGAATTCTATTATATTACGATACTCTTAGTCATCTGCAAAGTTTATTATTATGGAGTCATAATTAAAATATAGATTATGTATTACAAATTTTTGGTTTTTTTAATTATTTAAAATTAAAAATAAATAATATAGGATGATTATTTATGAAAACCAATTTCTTACAAAGTCCGTATATTTAAACGCTAGCAACAAAAAGTGGTAATTTTCAAAGACTTTTTGTTTGTAAATATTGGTATTCATACTTCTCTAAGAAAATTCACATGTATTCTTTTTCTCATTGTGTTACTATTATATTATTTGTTTCTTATTCTATAGACAAATAATATTTTAGTTGCTAAATAATTAAAGCACATTTATATGTATTGCGTTATTTTTTGTATGTGTTTTATATAATGATGTTTTCAAATTATCTTTTTTATTAGGCTACAACTACTATAATCACATAAGATAAAATGTAAATTTAATATATTTGATAAAAATGCTTTTTATACGAATTATTAGATTAAAAAGTTTACAATTTTTTCAATGTTTGATAAAATATTAGGTAACTAAGTCATTCTTTTTCAAGCAGTAATTGAATAATAGTTTAACGTACAACTCATTTATTTGTCTTTTTAATTCACATAGCTATGTTATCTCATTTCCCTTCTCTGGCCTAGTCTTTTCCTTCTTTTGTCTATGACTTCACTTTGCTTCGCTTCGTTTGCACCTAATGTGCATTCGCCATAATTTCAGCATTACGACAAGCCAGTGTCAAATATATATCGGGAATTGATGCTCTAGCCAAAACGTGGGAATAATGTAAGTTTACCTCCAAGTTT